CTCAGTGCCCTGGCATGCAGTGGGACTTTACTGTAGGGGGAATGAAGCCACCCAGGAGGTAAAAGCAGAGAAATAATGGATGTGATTTATTATTTTAGAGGATCCTTCTGGCTGCCTGAGGGGGCATGAGCTGTAGGGATAAGTGGGAGCAGGCTGCCAGTGGAGAGGCCAGAACAACGACCCAGGCAAAAGCAGTGGTAGTGATGACAGAGAAGGAAGCAGTCAGGCTCTGGATACGTTTGGAAGCCAGAACTGACGGGGTTTATTCAAAGACATGGGGTCAGAGAGAGAGGAGTCTGAGTTCCCATTTTGCATACGGATGTCCAGTTGTTCCAACATGATTGAAAAGACTATCCTTTCTCCATTGGATTACCTTTGCTCCTTTGTCAAAGATGAGTTGACTCTATTTAGGTGGTTGTATGTCTGGGCTCTCCATTCTGTTCCACTGCTCTATTTGCCTAGCCTTTCACCAATACCACACTGTCTGATTAGCATAACTTTATATCAAGTATTGGAGTCAGGGAACATCACTCCTCCAATTTGTTCTTCTTCAATATTGTGTTGGCAATCCTGGGTCTTTTGCCTCACCATACACACTTTACAATAAGTTTGTCAATATCAGGGCACCTGGGTGGCTCAGTCAGCTGAGCATCTGCCTTCAGCTCAAGTCATGGTCCCGGGGTCCTAGGATGGAGCCCTGTGTCAGGCTCCCTGTTTGGCAGGGAGCCTGCTGCTCCCTCTGCCTGCAGCTCCCCCTGCTTGTGCTCTCTCTCTGTCAAATAAGTAAAAAAAAAAACTTAAAAAAATAAGTTTATCAATATCAACAAAATAATTTGCTGAGATTTTTTTAAAAATATTTTATTTACTTATTCATGAGAGAGAGACACACACAGAGAGAGAGGCAGAGACACAGGCAGAGGGAGAAGCAGGCTCCATGCAGGAACCCAACGTGGGACACGATCCCGGGTCTCCAGGATCACATCCCGGGCTAAAGGTGGCGCCAAACCACTGAGCCACCTGGGCTGCCCAATTTACTGGGATTTTGATTGAGATTGCATTTAACCTATAGATCAAGTTGGGAATGGGGCATCTGCGTGGCTCAGTCAGTTAAGAATTTGACTCTTGATCTTGGATCAGGTCTTGATCCCAGGGTCATGGGTTCAAGCTCCACATTGGGCAGCCCAATGTGGAGCCTACTTAAAAAAAAAGAAAAAAAGATCAAGTTGGGAAGAACTGACATCTTACCAACACTGAGTCTTCCAACCATGAACATGGACTATTTTTCCATTGAGCATGACTTAAACATTTTTTTAATTATTATTGAGGGGCACCTGGGTAACTCAGTTGGTTAGGTGATGAACTCTGGATTTCAGTTCAGGTCATAATCTCAGGGTTGTGAGATCAAGCCCCAAGTTAGGCTCCAAGCTCAGTGCAGAGTCTGCTTAAGATTCTTTCCCTCTGCCCCTATTCCTGCTCTCTCTCTCTCTCTCTCTCTCTCTCTCTCTCTCTCTCTCAAAAAAATAAAAATAAAGGGGTGCCTGGATGGCTGAGTCAGTTAAGTATCTACCTTTGGCGTAGGTCATGATCCTGGGGTCCCGGGATTGAGCCTGGTGTCAGTTTCCCAGCTCAGCGGGGAGTCTGCTTCTCCCTCTGCCTCTCCCCCACTCATGCTCGTTCTGGCTCTCTCTCTCTCTCTCTCTCTCTCTCTCTCTCTCTCTCTCATAAATAAAAGATTTTGCTTTAAGAGAGAAGGGGAGATCTTTTTTTTAAAAAGATTTTATTTATTTATTTGGGAGAGAGAGAGAGATAGGAGTCAGGAGAGGGACAGAAAAAGAGAGATAAGCAGACTCCTGACACCAAGCTTCATCTTAGGACCCTGGGATCAGGCAGACACTTAACCGACTGAGCCATCGAGGAGCCTCAATAAACAAAATCTTTTAAAAATTTGGTTAAAAGTTTTTAAAAAATTGTCTAAATTTCAGGTGTATGCTACTTTGATACATTTATATACTGTAATATGATTGCTTTTGTAATTATATTTATCATGTTGCATATTTATTTATTTTTAAAGATTTTATTTATTTATTCATGAGAGACACACAGAGAGAGAGAGGCAGAGACAGAGGCAGAGGGAGAAGCAGACTCCATGCAGGGAGCCTGATGCGGGACTCGATCCCTGGATCCCTGGTCTCCGGTGTCATGCCCTGGGCGGAAGGCGGTGCTAAACCACTGAGCCACCAGGGCTGACCACGTTGCATATTTATAGTGTGATATTGTTGCCTATATTCTTTATACTGTCCATTAAATCACTATGGCTTATATAACACTCTTTAAAATTTATACCCTTAAAAAATAAAATAAAATTTATACCCTTAAATATCACTCTCCCCCCCCCCCAACTCCCCATCCCCTGGTTACCACCAGTTTACTGTTTTGTTTTTTTCAGTTTGGTTTTTTTAGGTTCCACGTGTAAGTGATATTATATAGTACTTGTCTTTCTCTGACTTAGCTTGGCATAATGTGCTCCAAGTTCACCTATGCTGTTGCAAATAGCAGGATATCCTCCTTTCTCATGGCTAAACTCAATTGTGTGTCTGTACTGTATCTTTTTTATCCATTTGTCATTTGATGGGCACAGGTACTGTGAAAATGCTGCAATAAATATGGGAGTGCAGATATCTCTTCAAAATCCTGGGTGGTTTTTTTTTCTAAGATTTATTTATTTATGCAGAAAGAGGGAAAGAGCGTGCAAGCGCAGGTATGAGCATGGGGGAGGGAAGAGGGAGAGAATCCTAAGCACACTCTCCTCTGAGCAGGGAGCCTAATGCAGGCCTCCATCCCACAACCCATGAGATCATGACCTGAGCTGAAATCATGAGTCAGATGCTCAACCAACTAAGCCACTCAGGAGCCCCCAAAATCCTGTTTTCATTTCCTTTGGGTAAATACCCAATAGTGGAATTGCTGGATCATATGGCAGATCTATTTTTTTTAAGATTTTATTTATTTATTCATGAGAGACACATAGAGAGAGGCAGAGAAGCAGGCTCGCTGCCAGGAAGCCTGATACAGGACTTGATCCCAGGGCCCTGGGATCACGACCTGAGCCAAAGGCAGACACTCAACCACTGAGCCCCCAGGCATCCCATATAATCAATTTTTTGAAGAACCACCATATTGTTTATGATAGTGGTTGGACCAATATACATTCCCACTGACAGTGCCCTAGAATTTCCTTCTCACCACATCCTCACCAGTATCTGTTGTTTTTTGTCTTCTTGTTGATAGCCATTCTAATGGGAGAATGACTCTTAAATTTTAAGTATGAATAGAGAGATCATTGGCTAAGGGAAGAGGGGTCCCCATTCAGGTTTTATTCCAGAATTGCACTTTGGTAATAATTATGATCTGAGGAAGCAGAGACAAACTTCCAAACATGACTTCCCCTTTCCTGTGCGTCCAAGCACAGCTAGGTCCAAACTTATCCACAAATTTGGGAGCCTCTCTGTTGTTAAAATTATTTTAATTGCTTTCTTTTTCTCCATGGATAGTGGCTTCATCAGAATTTTTTCCTGAATGCCAAACTCTGATTCTTCAAGCTTAATGTTGGCCTTACTCTGGTGCTGTTCTCTTCAGATGCACAGAATAAAGATGTCTCTCCAAAGGGTTGAAGCTGGTGTGAAGTCCTCTTCTTAATCACTGCTTTATCCCCTCCTCACCTCTACATCCCAACCCAGTTCTTTCTGCACATTCCATGGAAAAATGAGACCTCTGTGGAAAGAGGACAGTCCTGAGAGCAGTTTGCCAATACATCTGTAAGGGAAAGTGATGACCCAGTGTGGCTCACATGGCTGGCTAACAACCTCATGTGTCCTCTTCTCAAATACTGGAAACTTATGGCTGGACTTGAGCCCTCATTGAAGCTGAACTGACTTTCCAGCTGAAAAATTTCCAGATGCTGTCTCTTGGACAAGTTCAAAGCTACTAGTTACCCCTTGTCTGCAGTATAGCTCAGATTTACCTGTTCTGTCTTTAAGAGATTACCTCATTTCTAAGCCCTTTATCCAGACCATGGTAGTTTCATGTTTGGATAACTATTATTAATTCACACAGGTCTCTCATGTGCCATTCTGCCTCCACCCCAACATGTCTGCCCATGGTGTTTCTATGACCTGTGCGTGCCCCACTGCTATTTGAATGCTTCCAATGGCACTCCAGTGCTTCAAATAAAATCAGAGCTTCCAATGGCTGCCATTAATACAATTTCCCAGGGAAAGTTGCCTTGTCAGTCTTCAGTTGCTCCACATTCTACCTCACATCCTTTTTTAAAAAAGATTCTATTTATTTATTCATGAGAGGCAGAGAGAGAGAAAGGCAGAGATATAGGCAGAGGGTGAATCAGGCTCCATGCAGGGAGCCCAATGCGGGACAGGATCCCAGGTCTCCAGGATCACGCCAAAGGCAGGTGCTCAGCTCAACGGCTGAGCCACCCAGGCGTCCCATCTACCTCACATCCTATATTCGTGGGGAGGAGGGGCAGGGGGAGCCTCTTCTATTTTCTGATGACACTTACCCTCCTACCTCTAGGTCTTTGTCCAAACCTCTCAACTGACATGAAACCACCTTACTTCATCTATCTATGCCACCTGCCCATGCCCTTTCATCACATGGCACCATAAGGCCACCTCCAGCAGCCAGAGTCTCAGACTAGTCCAGCTGCATCCTCCCAGCAATGCCTCTCCACCTGCAGCCCCCCTCCAGCCCCGCCCCAAGACCACTACATTTTGCAATGAAGCTGCATTGTTAAGATAGTAAATCCCCCAAGACTGTCTCTACTGTGATATGTATCCCCAAGTGCCTTGTCCAGCACTTTGTACCCGGTGAGCACTCATTGTGACCTTGCAAACTAATCGGCCATGTACAGAATACCTAGGCCCAGGTTCCACTGAGAGTCTGTGGGGAGAAAGGAGAAAACATACACAATAACTTTGTTCCACAATTCATTTACTGAACTGGGACAGGTGATTTAACAGCAGATTGCGGGATAAGACTGGAAGGGAAGACTTTTTGCTTCCCCTCCCAGGAGCCAGTTGTGTCATGGATGCTTGTAAATTTTCCAAAATAGCCATCTGTTGTTGGGCAAGCTGGGTCTGAAGCTGGAGGTTGGCATACATACATTCTAGGAGTCCCAGGCATTCCTTGGGCTTGTGTTCAACTCCTGAGGGGAAAGAAATGAAGGTGCAGAGGGATGGGGAGAAATTGTAATGATACTGTGGTGAGAAGGGCTCTAAAAGGATCACCCTGCCAACCTTCCCCAGCACAGTTCCACCCACATGTAACTTTGTATGGCTGGCCCCTTCCCAGTCGGGCCCACTTGGCTACCCTATTTTAATTGGAAAACCATCGCTAGAATTTGTTACCCTTCTCCCTTAATTTCTCCCATCATATTTATGATCATACAGCATATTGTGTAATTATTTATTTGTGGTCTGAGTCCCTCCCCTGGAATATAAGCTCTGGGAAGGCAGAGAGCTTTGTCTGATTTGTTCTCTGTTATATCCTCAGCACCTAGAAGACTGCCCCAGTGCACAAGTATTCAAAAAAGACTTGATGGGTGAAGGAAATGATCTGAATGAGGCTCCAGGGGTGCCCCAGCCTCCGTCTCTCACCCTACATGGTGTTGGATCAGGGGTGACCTGCAATTGTCAAGCCCCTCCTATTGTCTCACTTCAACCAGTCTTGCTGCATTATGCCAATTTTTTCTAATGTTTTCAAAGATGTTACGTGCAGCCAACCTCTAGGTAAGTTATTTACCTATTGTTTTTGTATGTAGTGGTCATGACTTCGTTATACTCTGAGGTCCTCAAACACGGTTGCCATGACTGTCTAGGGCCTGGTTAGGCTCCCCACCAGTATCTGAAATACCCACTGATTTCTCCATGGGATCGTGAGTGACTGACAGGCAATAAACTGAGCTAATACCTACCAAGTCCTTCCCTGGTCACTTTGTAACTAATGCTACTAGCAAGCAACAAAATTTTCCTTTCTGTCCTGCCTAACCTAGTAAAAGTGCTAATAAAGAAACCAACACAAATTGGTAGAATTGGGAAGAAAATGCAATCAGTAGAACTGAATAATCAATGAGCTACCAATGACACAGGGGTGGCACCAGGTCAACGGGAGGAAGCTCAGACCACTTCCTCCATGCAACCTCTCCCACATGGAGTCCGTTTGGGAAACCTGTCTTGCGTCCTTACCTGAGGGAAGCTTTGTTCTCTGGATGTTCAGGAAAGTGGCCGGTGGGGAGCTTGCTTGAAGATTAATAAAGCTAGGAGAGGGTTTGGCTCGACACAGAGGCATGGCATTACTTTCCTCTTTGGCTGGAACAAAATCAGAGACAACTAATCAGAACCGTCTCTAACAAGGCCTGGCCTTTCTAACTCAATCCTGACATTTGGTCTATGAATACAAGTGCCAAGGCCCTGCCCTGAGCAGTGCCAAAGAAAGTTACAAAAGACAAAAAAAAAAAAAAAAAACATAGTAGGATGAAGGGAAATCAAGCAGGATTAGGTTCAGCTTAAGTATTGCAAGTTCTTATGGGCACGTGTCACTTGCTTACTACTGTGCTAGACACTTGGGCATCACAAGATCTCAAACTCATGGTTACTATCACTTTGGGAGACTGATAGGGCACTGATGAAATGTGATAGGACCACCTACAGACCCAAACAATGCATCAGACAGTCTGGGTGAAAATGAGACCTTTATGTTTGAAAATATATTTGAGAGAATCTCAAGCAGACTCCACACTGAGCATGGAGCCTAATGCAGGGCTCAATCTCACAACCCTGAAATCATGATCTGAGCCAAAATCAGGTTGGATGCCAAACCAACTACGCCATCCAGGTGCCCTGAGAATGAGGCCTTTAAAAAAAAAAAAGATTTTAAAAATTTATTTATTCATGAGAGACAGAGAGAGAGAGAGAGAAAGAGAGAGAGAGAGAGAGGCAGAGACACAGGCAGAGGGAGAAGCACACTCCATGCGGGGAGCCTGACATGGGACTCAATCCCAGGTCCCCAGAATCAGGCCCTAGGCTGAAGGCGTTGCTAAACCGCTGACCTACCCGGGCTGCCCCAGAAATGAGGCCTTTTATCTTGTAATTATCCTAAGTATGTGATTGAACGTAGAAATGGATGCTTTTGAAAAGGTGGAAGAGGGGATCCCTGGGTGGCGCAGCGGTTTGGCGCCTGCCTTTGGCCCAGGGCGCGATCCTGGAGACCCGGGATCGAATCCCACGTCGGGCTCCCGGTGCATGGAGCCTGCTTCTCCCTCTGCCTGTGTCTCTGCCTCTCTCTCTCTCTGTGACTATCATAAATAAATAACAAAAAAAAAAAGAAAGAAAGAAAAGGTGGAAGAGCTCAATATGAGTACAATAGAGAAGACACCAGGCAGGTGGAGGATGTTTTTTGGACCTTGAACACATGGTGCTTTCAATGAGTGGAAAAGATATATCAAGTGGGAGAAAAAAGGAGGGCAGGAGAGCAGGGTGAGCAATGAAGACCCTTCACAATAGTGAATCTGAGACTTTAGGCTTTCTCTTGAATACAGTGGAAAGCCATTGAGCAATTTAGGATTAGAAAATATGACAAAAACTGTATTAATCTACAGATATTAAAATAGACTGAATGTGAAAGGAGTTCCTGAACAGCCAAATAAATAACCTTTGACAGAAATACTTAAGTTAGAAGGAAAAATGGATTTGTAGGGAGGTCATCAATCCTATAGAAGACATATGTTATTTTTGCCTAGTGAGTACCACCTCCTCTGTGAACCTATACTCTCCCCAGATTCTAGGCCATACTGGTGGGATCACATCAGGACCCACCCTCAGGAGAAAAGGGCTTGTGGCCCAGCGCAGGCCAACCATGGTATCTCATCCTCCTTGGCAACTGTGATTGATCCAAGGGGTAAGCACACAGGGCAAATTAGGCCAGAGTCACTCTCTGAGATTGATATACAGATTCTGTTGTTCAAGAAGCTTGCTTTCTTCTGATCTGCTATGCTGGAAAATGCAAAGTCAGGGCAGATGAAAGCTATTGGATTTGGCCAGCATGCTGAAGGAGCAGGTACAGGCAAGAGAGTATAGACAAGAGTGCAACAGACAGACGGACGGACAGACACCCAGAGGCACCAAGTCCCCCAGTGCAGTCCCTGACATCCCAGCTCTTGCAGGCTTTCTTCCTGTCCTGTGACCATCTCAGCCTCCCTCCCAACTGCACAAGCCTTTGAATTTCCTTGTTTACTCAAGGGAGTCTGAGTGGGGGGTCCCATCAGATTAACACAAATCACATTTTGGACATACTGATTGAGTGGAGACTAGGAGGTCCAAGTAGAAAAGCCTAGAAAGACAGCCAGAGGTGGCGCTGAGCTCAGGTGAAAAATCAAGCTGCCAGGCCAGCCACCAAGATGTGATAAAGAAGCTGCAAAGATAAATCAGCTCTCCAAAGTAAAACATTGAGAAAGGAAACTGGAGCTTGGGGAGCTCTTCCTCAGGAGTTTGGAAGATGAGAAAAAAGCAGCAAAGCATGGATGGAGAAGGCATGAAGATGGATGGAGAAGCAACATAGCTGGGGCTCCCAGGGAGCCCACAAGTCACTGCCAGGCTGAGATCTTCTCCAAGGACAGAAAAACTGAATCCACTCATTCATTTACACATCTAGGAGACAGCTAAGTGCCTGAGTGTCCATCACTTGAGGATGCCACAGCAAGCTAGCACCCATGATCATGACTCTCACGGAACTGACAGCATTACAGTATAGACAGTCAAAGGGATCAAGCATGCATGTTATTGTACCCCCATAATGTGAGAAGAGCATCTAACCTATAAGCCATCTGTGCAGCTGGGGAATGTGTTTCCTTGAAATGATCCTGTCTCAGCTGGGATTTGGAGGAAGAAACAAGATGGAGGTCTTCCTAGAAAATAAGCCTAGGTGCAGAGGTGTGACAAACAATAGGTTGTGTATGAAGAAAGACTTCGTATTCCTGTCCTTAACTCCAAGAGTAACAGAAGAATGGCCCACCGGAGGGCGGGGGGGGGGGGCGGAGTACACATGGGTGCCAGCCTGAGGTGCTTTCTATGTGGAAACTCACTGAGCCTATGAGAACTGAAATCTGTTTTATTCCCTATTACTCCTGAAAGAAATCTGTCTTTTGGGTTTTTTTAGGCTGGGTTTGTGGATTGTGCAAACCCTGCTGTAGGCCATCCATCTTCTTTTCCCTTCCTCTCATCAGTCATTTGACAGCTCGTGCAAAATGGTATAAGGTGACAAAAGCTGAAACTTGGGTCTCGAGATTATACTCACCACTGGAAAAATTTAACTTTAACTTCCATACAAATGCACTTCTCAACAATTCAGGTCCTTCCTAGGTAGAGGAGGATATATTTTCTACCAGGTTGTAAGGTATGAAGAACACTTACACACAGTGCATACTAAAGGAACCACACTTCTGACAACACAACTGAGGACGAGGTCAGGGAGCAGCAACAGGACACAGAATGTAGAAAATAACAGTAAGAGGTGCTTTACGAACATTATCTAGTTCTCACAATGACCCTAAGAAGTAGGCAGCTTTATACACATTTTATTTGACAAAAGTGGAAGTTAGGAAATTTGCTTAAGATTCCACAACCAGAAAAAAAATAAAAAAAAAAAAGATTCCACAACCAGCCAAGTGTCTTGTGCTGGGGTTAAATCCAGACCTGTGGCCTCCAAGGTCACACTCTTCACACGTGCACAACATACTGTGAAGAGAGCTAGTCCATTATGTCTAAGCTGTGACATAGTAGGAGTCATCTACTCCGCCTACAGTAGGTGGATGGGCTCTGAAGTCAGGCAGCCCCAGGCAGTTCCCTGGCCATGAGTGGGACTGCCCCCCTTGAATGGACACTAGGTCTCCTGGAATCCTTGCACTTGAGGTCTAGTTCTAAATATTAACAGGGGAAACAAAGAAATAATGTATTCACTCAATATGTCATTGAGCAACTGTTATGTAATAGATCCAGTTGTAGATGCTGGGAGTTCAGCAAGGTTCTCATTTATTTATTCTTTAAGCAAGCTCCACACCCAGCCTGGAACTCGAACTCATGACCCTGAGATCAAGAGTCACATACTCTACCGACTGAGATGGCTGAGTGCCCCAGCAAAGCTCCCATTTAATGGGAAACTGTATTAGAGATACAAATACTTTCCAATTAATAAGAAAAAGAGGGGAAAATGGGGCAGCCTGGGTGGCTCAGCAGTTTAGTGCCGCCTTTAGCCCAGGGCATGACTCTGGAGACCCAGGATTAAGTCCCACATCTGGCTCCCTGCGTGGAGCCTGCTTCAACTTCTGCCTGTGCCTATCTCTCTGTGTCTCTCATTAATAAATAAATAAAAATATTATTAAAAAGGGGGGGAGGGAATTCCTGGGTGGCTCAGCGGTTTTGCACCTGCCTTCCGCCTGGGGCATGATCCTGGAGCCCCGGGATCGAGTCCCACATCGGGCTCCCTGCATGGAGCCTACTTCTCCTTCTGCCTGTATCTCTGCCCCTCTCTCTGTGTGTGTCTCTCATGAATTAATAAATAAAATCTTTAAAAAAGAGGGTATATGTATAATTAGAATCACCTTCCCAAATTCTGAGCAATTAAGAAGGTCTGGCTTTCAAGGCAGGGGGCAAGGGGCCTCAGACACACACCTTTTTCGTTCGGGTGGTTAGCATGCTGCTCCATCTGGACACCAAGAAGGTGTGGTGCCTAGGGAAGAATCAGCGTTACATGATCAACTCATGCTACCATTTTACCGCTGACAGTTTAACTTCTCCCCAGCACATCTGACGCTGCTCCAATTTAGGGAGGAAGATGTATGAAAGAAGGCACTGTTCTGCTTCATGGCCAAGTGCTCCCATGGTCCCTTCGCTAGTTTGGAAAACAGCGGTGTCCCTGACTGTTATTTCCTCTCTTCTGGGCAAGTCGTCACTTAACTAAGCCCAAACCTTCAGAGTCTCCCAGTAACGGGGCTTCCCTCAATGTTTCCCTTCTGCAGCACCAGCCCTTCTCCTGTCCTCTGAGGTCACTGCAGCAGCCTGACTCCCCATCACCTGTCATGGGCCGAGAGAAAGCGCAGGAGGGCGCGGGGTACCGGCGTGGAAAGACGCCCGGCTGCGCGAGGAACCCCCGGGCTCGCCCCCAGCGTCTACGGGAAGCACCTGCGAGAGGAGGGCGAGGGGCGCGCTGGGGCGCCCCGGGAAGGGCTCTGCCACTCAACCGCCCCGGGGACCAAGTTCCCGAAGTGGCCACGCCGCGGTCCCTCCCGCAGCTAAGGCTGGACAGAGACCATCGCCCCCAAAGGACCCGAGGCGCGGGCCAGCTCAGGGACTTCACCTGCGCTGTTACTCGAAAGCCTCCTACCCGGGTCCCACCCTTGTGGTTGATACACATGCGCGGTGGCGCCGCGGCCAACTGCCCCAGCCTCCGCGCTTGCGCCGACCTGCGCGCCGCACGCGGCCGGGAGCGGCCACCCTACTGCGCAAGCGCTCGGGCCCTCCCCTCGCCATCATCGTGCGCTCTCTATCTAGCTTGCTCTGCCGTTCTTGCGTAGAGGGCGGGGCTAAGAAAGCCTATTGGCCGGTTTTCTTGCCGCTCAATGAGCTGGCTGCAGTGATTGGCAGCGACCCGGAGGGTAGCGGGTTTAGGTGTGAGCCCTGAGAAGGCAGCGTTTTCTGGGCTTTTCGCTGGTTCTCTCTCTCCAGAAGGTTCTGCCGGTTGCCCCCGCTCTGGGTACCCGGTTCTGCATCGCGCCGCCATGATGGGCCATCGTCCGGTGCTCGTGCTTAGTGAGTTGGGGGAAGCCGGGGCAGGAGGGGCCCCTTTTCGCCCCTTTCCTCCGCGCTTTGGCGTGTTGCCCCAGCCCGGTCCCGCCCTGGTCCGGCCGCGCAGCCTTCCCGTCGTCGTTGGTTTCGGAATCCCCTTTCCTTCTCCTCTTCCTGCCCCGAGCCCGTTCCCTTAGGGCCTGGGCCGGGCCGGGCCGCTGGTCTGCGGGCACCCGGGCTCCCTCCGCCGCCACTGCACCCCTGCTCGCGTGGTTCTCGGCGTGGGCCCGGAGAACGGGATGTGGTCAGGCCTGGCCTCCCAGCCCCGGCCCTTGACCCCGCCACATCGCCTGGCTCGAGCGTTCCGTTTTTATCAGGGGTCTTGACAGTATTTTCTCGTCGGATCGGGGGCTTAAGTGACTGAAGTAGGGACGCTGCCGACGAGGGGCGGGGGCGCGGCGTCCGCGCACAGCGAGCAATGCCCTGGTAATTTCTCAGTAACGCCCTCCCGGGGTCTCCTTTCGCGGGGTCCGGCTTCGATGTAATTGACCCCGCGGTGTCCTCCGCGCTGTGGTCCTACCTACTGAGTTTTCCTGAATTTCTCTCTAAGGAGGATTCGCTCCATTGTCTTCTCCTGGGGTATTCCCATTCCTCGTGTAACTTCTGTACCTCGTCTGCAAACTCTTGTTCCTCCCTTACCGTTTTATGTATACAAAATGCAATAAAGCGGTTTTATGCCTTTTCCCTGTACCTGGGGAATCACTGTTTTCACGGAAAAAAAAAAAAATTTTTTTTTACTTAACAGGAAAAAAGCCCGTTGTTTTTTTTTTTTTGTTTTTTTTTTTTTTTTCTGAGGAGTCCATCAGAATAGTCTCTGCAGGATTTTAGTTACTGCTACTCGAAACATGAATCTAAATTCTGAGGGTTGTGAGCGTGTAGATTTGATGGGACTGGTTGAAAATTTTACTGATTTAAATTGTAGGGAATGTGTAATTTGGAATGAGGGAAATCGGCGGTTCGGTTGTAGCCACTGGCTTGTCTCCATTGGGAGGGCCCCAGGAGTGAGTGGTGGTTGTGTGTGAAGCCTTTTTCGGGTCTTCGTTATTTTCTGGCACTAGTCACTATGACTGAGTAGGCTTCCTGTTAAAACCTGGTGGTAGAGCGGTTACTGAGGCATCCTTATATCCTAGCATGCAGTGATTATCTTGCAAACTGAGCCACTCCGAGAGGACAGTCTAATTCCACAGCACACTGTGGGGGCGCTATCAGTAATTGTGCTGGGATGGTTAGTATAATTCCTCCTGCCCAAATAGGAAAATAAGAACCCCCAAACTCCTTCCTTTTTTTATAGAAAGCAATGACTGATGCTTTTTTTTTAGGTTACCAGCTCTTTGAGAATGGGATATAGATCCTCTTCCCAGTCAAGAATGCAGTACCTTCTCATTTTCTCATATAATCTCTAGGAGTTTACCATTCCACTAGCCCATTTATGGACCTCAGTATGAATCTTTGCTGTTAATTTGTGAATATTTGGTTAGTGGGAAAGAGATGACCAGGGTTCCATAGTTGAAGCATTAGGGATTTGTATGCCAGGGGTTGACATAAAAATGTAGCCATAAGTACATGCTTTAGTGTTGTTGTTTTTTTAAGTTTTCAAAGGTATATTGACATGTAATAACCTACATGTATCTAAAGCATACAATTCATTGAGGTTTGTTCTTTGTATATCTGTAAAACCTGTGTGTGCATGTGTGCGTGTGTTATTTCCAAAGGTCAGGGAGTAAATAGTTGCTACACAGTGGGTGAATCCTGGTCTATTACATTTTACTTTATCTGTTTTAGGCCAGAACACAAAGCGTGAATCTGGAAGAAAGGTTCAATCTGGAAACATCAATGCCGCCAAGGTAGCATATCATTCATTCATTTAAAGATTAGATTTAGGGCATCCCTGGTGGCTCAGCGGGTTTAGCGCCACCTCCAGCCTGGGGTGTGATCCCGGAGACCCAGGATCGAGTTCCACGTCGGGCTCCCTGCGTGGAGCCTGCTTCTCCCTTAGTTTAACGTTGATGAGTTTGCTTTCAGCTGCCTTCCCTAGTATTTCTGTATTTATTTGCAATTAGGCAGAAGAAAAGTCTGACTTGCCTTTTTTTTTTATTTTTTTATTTTTTATGTTTTTACTTATGATAGTCAGAGAGAGAGCGAGAGAGAGGCAGAGACACAGGCAGAATGAGAAGCAGGCTCCATGCACTGGGAGCCCGATGTGGGATTCAATCCCGGGTCTCCAGGATCGCGCCCTGGGCCAAAGGCAGGCGCCAAACCGCTGCGCCACCCAGGGACCCCTGACTTGCCTTTTTTGAGGGCATTTCTCTAATGGTGGTAGGACGCCCTCCCGCAATGAGTTAGGCTTAATAGTCTTTTCATATTGTGCATAATTCTATTAGCGTATATTTTATAATCTGTTCGTGTTTGTCTCACACTGTGTGGAGTTACTTGAGGGGAAGGACTGTATTCCCTTTTATATCCCTAGCATCCATTGTAGATCCTGCCTCAGTATTCAGTTAATGTAGTTTGGATGAAAGAATGAAACAGCCCTGGAGCTGATTTAGCGTGGTGTGGAGGCCACTGCCATGGAAAGAAGTACTAACACATGGACTTCCAGTTATCTGAGTTATGGGAAACTGAAGTTCTGGAACCCATGTCCCCTCTTTTCCCGTGAAAAATTATTTATACATCCACCTTGAACTCATTCCTGAAGAGGAGCACAGAATCCGGACATGTAATCTCCTGTATCTAACGTGGCTTCTCCTAACACACACATTCATGTGGTTATCTGATTGGTGGTTACATGTATTATATTTTCTTTTTGATAGACCATTGCAGATATCATCCGTACATGTTTGGGACCCAAGTCCATGATGAAGGTAGGCCTGTCTCTTACTGAAAATTGACTACAGATTTTCCCTTTCTGTTACCTGGAAGACTTAAGTATAACTTTTACTTTGGCCCTAGATGCTTTTGGACCCAATGGGAGGCATTGTGATGACCAATGATGGCAATGCCATTCTTCGAGAGGTATGACTTTTTATTCTAGCAATTTTATAAAGGACCCATAAAGTTATATATATTATTAGTTTCTTAGGACTGTTCTAACAAGTTACTACACAGTGGGTGGCTTTCAACACAGAAATTTATTTTCTCACAGACTGGAGACTAGAAGTCCAAAATCAAGGTGTCAGCAGGGCCCTACTCCTCCTGAAAGCTCTTGGAAAGAATCTTTGGTTTTGGTTTTGGTTCTTTGTTTTAAGATTTTATTTATTTATTCATGAGAAACACAGAGAGAGGCAGAAACACAGGAGAGGGAGAAGCAGGCCTCTCACAAGGAGCCTGATATGGGACCCGATCCCAGACCCCGGGATCACGCCCTGAGCCGAAGGCAGAGGACACTCAACCACTGAGCCACCCAGGCATCCCATGGAAAGAATCTTTGTTGCTTCTAGCATCCCGTGGTTGACCATAATGGTTGACATTCCTTGGTTTGTGGACTTAGTCACCTTTTCAGATGTTATATGCCATTCTTGTGTCGTGTCTTTTATTATAAAAGGACAACAGTGGTTGGGTTTAGGGCCTATTGTAATAATCTTGTATGATCTAATTTATTTTAAAGATTTTATTTATTAATGAGAGAGAGAGAGGCAGAGACATAGGCAGAGGGAGAAGCAGGCTCCGTGTAGGAAGCCCAATGAGGGACTCAATCCCAAACCCCGGGATCATGCCCTGACCCAAAGGTGGGCACTCAACCACTGAGCCACCCAGGCGTCCCTTGTATGATCTAATCTTAATTATATCTGCAAAGACCCTGTTTGAAAACATTCACCTTCACAGTTTCCAGGGGTAGGACTTCAGCTGTCCTTTTGGAAAACACAGTGCAACCATGACATTGGGTCTCCCTGTAAATAAGCTAAGAGAGTACTGATCTGTCTTCAAGAAACTTTTTTTTTTTTTTTATATTTATTTACTCATGAGAGACAGAGGCAGAGACACAGGCGGAGGGAGGAGCGGGCTCCATGCAGGGAGCCCGATGTGGAACTCGATCCCGGGTCTCCAGGATCACACCCAGGGACCCTGTCTTCGAGAAACTTTAATGGTTAAGTTGGCATATGCATTTTTTCCTGAGAAGAAGGAGACTTGGAAAGAGGATTTATTTACATATTTTGGGGACCATTTTAAATCTTTCAAGCTGGTAAAACAAAGATAAGGGAGTGAGTGTGGAAATAAGCTCAAGAGTTAGGACCATGGAAAGTGGATTCCAAAGTCTTTGAGTAGTGCTGATTCAGTGGCAATCTGCATTTTCTTTTCAGATTCAAGTCCAGCACCCAGCAGCCAAATCCATGATTGAAATTAGCCGTACACAGGATGAAGAGGTTGGAGATGGAACCACATCAGTAATTATTCTTGGTAAGTAAGAGGAGAACAGTGCTGATAGAGAAAATTGGATTGAAACATGAAGGTTTTTGTCAGAAAGTAGATCTGCATCCTACATTAAGAAGGAAATTGTTACCAATCCACTAATTACAATATTTAGGTAATTTTTTGCTAATTTCCTGTGTATTTTCTCCCAAGTGAACATAAAACACTCCTCATAGTGTAGGATGAACTAAAAATCTGGTTGAACAAAATATAGTGGTTTATTGTCATTCACAGTAAGTTATATTCTAGAAAGCTACCACAAATCCTAAACCGTCACTCCTGGGGGAAATACAGGTTAGGCCCCTGTCAGCCTCTTCACATACTCTGATAAATACATACTTTAGTTTTATTTATTTTGG